TGTTGAATAGGGCAAAAGTGTTCATTCCTCGTCAAGTGCCAAAGACTTCGTACATGGATGTCAAATAGTAGATAACAACAAAAGTCATCGCATGATATCTGTAGTGTTAGTCTCAATCATAACAAAAAATATTTTTCGAATCTAGAATGATTCAAAAAAATATTTTCCAAAGAGATTGGACTCTCTCTCTCTCTCTTTTAATTTTTATCCTCTCAATTTCGAATATTCATTGACTTAGATATCAAAGAGAAAGAATTGAGAGAATAAATCCGAATTTGATATTTATTATAGTAAGTAGACTCTCAAGAGTTCAGCTTTTCTTTCATAAGTCTCACGGATCGACAACGAGAGCACATTCGACTCATGCATTTATCTCAGTGCGACTCGATCATCTTTGCATTTCGACATAGATGATCAATAAGAAGACTAACCAGCATAGTCGATGATAGATAGAGTAGACACCAACATTGATATGTACATGTCATCTTATCATCCATATTATGTCATCATAAACCTAATCAACACCTACCATCCAATAAATAGATTTTCCATCAGCATCCAAGTTTGAGAATGCTGGCAGCTGTGGGTGTTGACCAACCTCTCCCCAAACTGCCTCCATATTGCAAATGGCCCCCTTTGTGTGTTATTTTTCCTCCTCCTTTCTTGTGTTTCTTGTTTGATTGGAATCCAACACATACTGTGTATGCATGCATGCATGTCTTGGTTGGGTATGCCAAACAATATCTTCCTTTTGCTTCAACTGTACTATTAGCTTCACCTATGGGAAACAAATTGGTTCTCTAACAATTGAGTCACCTCCCTAAGTATTTGGTAAGTTCCCATCATATAATATAAACTTGATGACATGGTTATGCTCACCTTCAAGAATATACATTCTTTAAACGCGTATGAGTATATTTTAGACGTAAATCTAAACACAATAACAATAGACGATATCGATGCCAAAAGAATAATTAATTTTAAATTAATAATCAAATAAAAAACTAATGAAATAGATGAAAGAATTGTATGGTTTAGTGTTTTTGTCTATGTTCATAGAAGATCAAATTCTTTACTCTATGAGGATACTCAATACAAATACAAGGAATAAAAATCCTCTCTCCTGAGTTAATTTAAATCTAAAATCTTTATATATACTCTTGTAGAAAAATTAAATTTTCGGTATTTTTCTCTATGAATACCTAAAGATAATCATAGAACAAATTAATCTTAATTTACAAAGATTTTTTTCATATTTAAATTTTCATATCTAAGTAATCCAAATGACCTCTAAAAATACTTATAAACCCTAATAAATACCCACAAGTAGATGTTGGGATCTTTTTTCTGAATTTTTGAATAATGTTTATTGAGTTTGTTTAATTCAGTTGTTAGGTGATCAAGGAAGTCGATTCCCTCGAAGCGATCATTATCATTCTCTTTTCTCTCCTTTGATAAAACGATCTTATCATTTAGTATTAGAACCACGATAAAATTTTAGGATCTTACCGGTAGATTATGACATCACGAAAGATCACTAAGAAAACTAGAGAAGAATATTTTAGCGGATGACACACAGCTATCGAGTAAGAGTAAGAGAGAGAGAAGAGAGAGAGTCACGAGACATAACTCAGAGGCTTTATTCTTGCTTGCAAGATTCAAACATTTCAGCTTCTTCCTCTACCTTATTCTCCGCGTCCTACGCCCACCTCCATCTTGACGCACGAAGCTGTTCACACGCATCACCACCGTTCCATGGAGAGAGGAGGAATCTTCCGGAGTTCACCTCCGCGTCGGCGTCGATGAATCCAGCATCGGCGTGGCGTGGCGTGTTCGCGTCAACCGAGAGCCTTGTCTTGTTTGCTGATCCACACAGACTCCAACGCCTACATAGTTATCCGTGAAGAACCACAGACGACTTTACTGCCCTGTGTCGTCGTATGTGTCGACCACGAAGAGTCCGGTCCTCCATTGACATGCGAGGTGTGTCGGAACAGCTGCATCCATTAAAGCTTCTCAGCACATCTGGGTGGACTGTACTGACAGGCACACTGCATGGTTTGCTTGCCACCATTTATTGGATCAGATGTTTCTTACCGTGGGTTGAGATCTTGCACTCTGACAACAATGCAGGTCATGCTTTGTTCGCCATTGTTCATCGAGTCAGACGTTTCCTGTAGTGGCTTCATTCCACTAACTTGAGCTGTCTGTTGATTGCTGAAGACGTGTGCAGTAGACAAGCAGAGGGCTAAGAGAGAGACAGAGAGAGAGAGAGAATTGATCAGAATATATAATATGACACCATGGCTTCGGCTACTGAGGTAGCTTCTTGCTACATCTTTGTTCCTCGTGGTTGTCCTCAGCCTCACACAACTCTCAAGTGTTGTTTGCTCGTCTTAAAGAAGACTGTTTGGTGAGCGGAAAGGATGAGTAAAGAACAAGAGAGCAAGCTGCTGAAAACGCAGGTAAATCTGTCATCTCCTTCACCTGCTTCCTCTGTACTCAGCATCAGACAATGGTGTTTTCGTTGCATCTCCTTTTGTTTTCTTGGTTGAATCATAGCCCAAATTTGAAGCTCTTCACGGAGATTTCTTGTTTCCTACTTCATTTGCAGGCATGTGTTCTGAAAGTGAACATATGTTGTGATGGATGCCAGAAGAAGGTGAAGAAACTGCTGCAAAAGATCGAAGGTATGGTATTTCTCCTCTTTCTGACAGTTAACTATTCTGCCTGTGATTTGCCTTTCGTCCATTAGAATGCTAGCTTCCGATCTAACCATTTGTTCCTGAGAAGTAAGTTCATTTGATTGGGTGGTGATTCAGGGGTCTACAATACCACCATAGATGCAGAGGAGAGGAAGGTGACCGTCACAGGGAATGTTGATCCTGCCGTCCTGATTACAAAGCTTAGAAAGGCTGGCAAACATGCTCGGCTGTGGTCTGCAAAGGCTGGAAACCATCACACCCTCACCGACCAGCTTGAGCTTGCCAAAGCACAGCAGCAGAAGGAATACTGGAAGACACAGAAGAAGTGCCAGCAGCCACAGCAGCAGGCAAAAGGGTTCAAGGATCTGAAGTTTCCGAATCTGAAGGGCCTGAAGTTGCCCTTCAGGAAGGGCAACAGAACAGTCAAGTTCGACCTTCCTCCCAAGGAAGACGTTGATGATGGAAGCGAGTATAGTGATCATGACTACGATGAATTTGAGGACGATGACGGCTTGGACGACATGGATGGCTTTGAAGAGGACGTCCGTGGGAAGGTTCTGGGGAAAGATACGAAAGGCGCCGCTGGTGGTGGTGGTGGTGGAGGAGGACGTAAGGGAGGAGTACAGGCGCAAAACAAGGCTATGGGTGGTAGCAACGTCAATGGTGGGGGGAGCCACAGCCAGGGCGGCGGTGGTAAAAATGTCCATGGAGCCCGTGACAGCAAGCATGAAGGAAAACACAACAAGGGTGGCAATGGCAATCCACCCCAAGGTGGCAAGAAGGGTGGTGGTGGTGGGAGCAATGATGGCGTGGGGGGCGATGGCCAACTTAACATGATGGGGCAAATGGCTCACATTCCAGCAGTCCGAAGGCCGTCGGCCGGAGGGGGCATGCCGGGGTACTTCCAGGGTGGAAATGTGCCGCCGGAGATGATGATGGCAGGAACAAATCCCTACCATCAGCAGCAGCAGCAGAGGATGATGATGATGATGATGCTGATGAACGGTCAAGACCGTGCTGCATTCCCGCCGCCTGTGGGCTACGGCTACGGCTACGGCCGGCCGGTTTACGCGCTACCGCCACCGCCAACCCAACCCCAGGCGGAGCCTTACACCATGTTCAGTGATGAGAACCCCAACAGCTGCTCCGTCATGTGAAGCAATCTTGACAGTGTGCGTCTCTTCTCCCTCGAGAAGCATGAAGAGGGATCACTCTGCCCTTATCATTAATGATCTTCCAATATGTCTCTTTTTCTCTTTTGTTTTCTTGAATTCCGGGTATAGGTTTTAGAACTATATATGTGGTTGTCACTGCAGCTTTTAGCAACATATGGATGGATGGATGGATAGGTCTTCCACTTGTGGTTGGTTCTATATGTTGTTTGCTTAATGTGATGATAGCACTGAAGTGAGTGAGTTATGTTATTTAATTTTACTCGTTTCCTTTCATATGTAAGTATTATATAATCATTACTTATATGTTCATGGAATATGCATAATTGCTAAAATGTTTATATTTTCTTTTATTTCCCTTAAACATTGGCTTGTATATCTGCTCTCTCTTCTTTTTTTTAATTATCTGATTATATAAATTCAAAATCTTATTTGATATATTTTGCATCTAAAAATCTGATAATAGTATAGTGATTCACTTTATGAATATTCTACATTTAATCAAGGCTACTTTCCTTTACGGATGATAGTAATGTCCAAGAGAGAGAATTTACATAGGAAAAGACACAAAAAGGTTGAAGAGAGGGAAAAAGAATAGTATTTTTCTTTGTATAATTAACAATGCAGTTGACAGCTTATATGCTTATATATTTATTAAAATTAGAAGAAAAAAATTTGCATAATATTTTTTTATTTATTCTCATGGAATATTATTTTTAAGATAAGATTACCCATAATCTTCACTTCATCATCTCATCATGATTATCTTCGTCTTATCACTCTTGTCATCGTCGTAATCTTCACCTCACAAAGGAGGCAAGGATATCATCTTAAAGATGATACGATCGAGATGAACGAGGACAAAGGGTAGAAGCTATGAATGAGGGTGAGGATGCAATCAATAGATGAGAGCGATGGCACAATCGATAAACGAGGGTGACCGCGACGGGATGAAGGCAACCACATGAAGATGTTGAGGCAAAGGCGAAGACCAATACAATAGAGGTTAGAGGTAATCTCATTTTTTAGAAAATAAATGATACTTTACATAAATAAATGGAAAATATTCCATTCTCAAAAAATTAAAAATCAAAACTTGATATTAAAAAAAAAATACCCTTAAAATTATGAAAAAGAATAAATATTATCACCTTAAAAATTGCTCTATAATACTGAGTCTAGAGGTTATAATGCAATCTTTCAATATATATATATATATATATTGGATCGAGGGTGCCGCAGCAGGTAGAGAGACCGCGCACCTATGGAGGGAGACCTGTGGCAAGAACAATATAACACATCTAACTGCTACAGGAGAAGAGTAGTGCGTTATTGGACGCTGCTGCCCGGCGGTCCAAATACTTCCGCCGCTTTCTCTCCGGCACGTCCGTCTTCTTAAGATCCTCGACGCACTTTGCATCCGCCAGGCACTTAAAAGACTTCGATTGGCCGGAGAAATATTTCGACAACCCTTTCCTTCTGAAACCGAAAAGAAAACATGAAGGTGCAAATGTCAGAAACCAATCCTTCTCCACAAAAGCATCCAACCCTGCTCGCTCTTACTTTATGGGGAGGTGAGTTCTCAGAGAACCCATGTCGAAGGTATGGAAGATGTTGTCCAAGTCCTGGGTCGAGGTAGACATGAGAAGATCGTCAAGCAGCCTTCCCCTAATTAATCTTGTGCTGGTTGTCGAGGCAGGAACCTCTCTCTCTTTATATACACCGAGGAAACAAGAAGAAGAAGAAGAAGAAGAAAGAAGGGTTAAGGACTGGAGACGTGGATGGATTTGCGCAAGCGACGTCTCGATAAATATGCGCTTCGTTTCGACGCCAAGGGCAGCAGCGGAAGTGCATTTATTTGCTTGTGGACCTGCGGAGGCCGGCATGCCTCCATCTTTATCCACACTGTTCCTCGTCTGATTCAGCACAAACCATGGCATTGCCACACAATTGAGGATGAGATAATTTACGCTGACTTCATCATCGTCATCATCATCATGCAGCAGATAAGGAAGATTACTAGAGTAGAGTACATGAAGATAACAAAGACAACTACTCGGAGAAAGTTTTAGAACAACCCAAGGAGGCAAACAGAGAGACAGACAGACCTGCTAGTGCAAACTCACGACTCCCACCATATAATTTACATAGTCAGGAACTCCATGACTTTTATGATTCTAAAGAGTGATCATTTGCCCCAACAGTCGCATGATGTTCCTTGATTAGTGCGTTGCCGCAAGAACTGCAGATCCTTCCACCTGGATATACAATTGCAAGAAAATTTGATGTCTAATAGCAATTTAATGTTACAAATCATTTAACACATAGTTGGTGATTGCAATCACCTAGAATGTACTTAAATATTGTGATCTGAAATAGGTTCTCGAGGCAGTCCACATCTTAAATAAATGCTCGAGTTGTCTGGGAATCTACAATTTTAATTACGTTGTGCATGTATTTTTTTCATTTGATTTCAAAGCTTAATTTGCATAGAAACAATAGTACATTACGCATAATTAGATAAGACCGATACCTTGAAAGTGGCACCACATACTTCTTCCTCATCTTCAAGAACAGCAGTCACCTTGTGCTTGGGGTTCTCATAGCTTTTCAGGCCCCCCAAGGCATTCGAATAGTAACATCCTGCAATCCAGCAAGCACATATATAGATTTCAATTATTTACACCAAACATGTACCACGTTACAAAGGAGATGATTGATGAAATGGACTCTCAAAGATATCTTGCTGGGTTTACCTTCAGGGAATGGTGCAAGTGACTTCCCGCACGATCCCTTCAGCAAGTCTAGATCGTCAGCAAAGGCAAGGCATCCATCTGCAGTGATCCCCCAGAACAAGGGTACTCTTCCATCTGGGTCCTGTCACATTACAAGCAAAACAAACCATCAGACTGGGCTTTCTTTTAGAGCTTAACATGCAGGAAAGAGCATGTTCATACAGATGCAACAAGGATGGATGATGTGGACTTGTCGAAGAGCACGAAGGCGAAGTTGCCAGTAAGGTGTGCGAGCATGAAGCTGGGAGGATAGGGAGCTCGGTCACGGAGGGCCTTGTAGGCTTCGATCACCAGCACCACCTCGTCGGCACTCTTGGAAAGCCCATACTGCTGCCTCAAGCTGCCCAGGTTGGTCAGCACTCCCTTGAAGAGGCAGTAAATCTCATCCTTCGCTGCAAACAACCTGCACAGGATTGCGTTGCACATCAAGCAACTCCAGCCACAGATTTTGTTGTACGTTTGTAAGTGCGAAGCAAAAGCTATTCAACAGATCAAAAGATTTTGGCACTACAAGAAGGCCAAAAAGTTTCATACGCTCTACTAATTCAACTGATTAGATATGGATCATGTTACAGGACCAGATCAGGTTGTGAGCTAAAATTCTACAATATTCTGGAACCACTTTTTTCTTTGTGTGTAATCTATGGATCAAAATTTAAGGTTAAACCACAAGCTCTAATCAACAAAGATTAAGAGATATGTATATATATATAATTGGCCCCTGCTAATTCCTGGCTCAAATACGGTACTACTGCATGAGGATGTAATTGGGGGAACCTTTTCTCTAGACTTCCACAAAAATAAATGATGTGATAAATATGATTGCTAGGGCTGACTTCGGATTAGCAAAAGAATATGCTTAACCTGGACCTAAGTTATTTGTCGACAGGTCAGAAAAGCTTTAAACTGTAGTTAGCCCACTCAACTATAGATGACATTTGTTTCAACTGGAAAAATATTCATAATCAACTTTTTTGAAAAGCAGTAATAATATAATGCTAATAAACACAAAATGAAGCTTTTCTCGATGAGTATTATACAACAATAATAATTGCGATGTCTCAACAACCCTGTGATTAGAGAAAAAGAAACTATGTTTAGAATTCTATGTTGATTTATGGTGACCTATGAACATTAAGACAGCGATAGTTTAGTTGGTAAAGATCTCAATTCTTCTTAGGAAAGAACTTTATGTTCAAGTAAACCTGAATTTGATCTGTTCAGATTCACCCCCTCTAACTTCATACCTAATCAATTAGGATGGGTTTGGGTAGATAAAGCAAGTGTGGATCAATCATTGCCACCACCCCCTAACGTCATGGCATCAATAATGCAACGTCAAAAGTATAGAAGATCCATGTGCAGAAAAGAGAACATCCACAGATCAGCTAAGTGACCCACGCTTGAAGCTAAATGTCATGCAAGCGACCTAACCATGGACTGAGGGTTTCTTTAATTGGAGCCTAGTTTCTAATGAATGAAAATGACCGACAACACCATTACTATAAGTTAGAACAGGCATGAACTTCCCGTCAGCGCACATGAACATGTGAGACATCATCACTATTGCAATTTATTATTATTTTTTCTTATTACATACTATCAAGAACCATGTTGTAAGAGTCAATAATATTATAATCAAGATCTTTATAAAGTAGAACAAAATGTAGTATAAAACACCCGTAAATTTCATGTTTCATTATTACTTTTTTTTATGCTTTTGCATATATCTACCCTTTATTACTATTTCATATGCTTTTGAAATGATATATCTACCCTTGTAAATTATTA